AGTCCTATGAAAACTTGAAAGGGACAAATTTTTTACATTGAAACCAGAGGAGCTGAATGCAATAGGACCCAAATTTGGAGGGGGTCATTCTGTAATCAACTCCAAATGTGTTAAAAGATTCCAACTTAAAACAATGGAAAACCCCAACATGTGGAAACCCAAGTTTACAAATTAAAAGAACATTACATCTTCATATGATAGCGAGTATTCCAAATAGTGCCTTGTTTGACCCATTGCATTTTAGGACACATGATTTGTCAATTGGAGAGAAAGATAAGTAGGTATTCTAAACCAACATCTGCTCTTGGAAATTCTGACTTAGCCTATGAAAACCCAAGGACAGACCAACTTCATATGGTGTTTCTTCTTGAGTGATGCCTCTTGAGTAGTAGAGGATTTTGTCCCCAAATATCAACCAATGATTATTGATCGACTAAATGACACTACGCTAAGATTTGCAAAATCAATACACTTAACTGCATGAAAACTTGAGGACACTTTCAACTGGTTATATAATGTAAAACAAGTTGTGACAAATTCTATCATTTAGGCCCCCAAATAAATGTTTTTATCGTTTTAAGAAAGAAATAGAAAATCAATAATAAACCATGGAAAGTTTCAATTTTTGGCATCATTTTTCCTAGACTCTAGATGACATGTGCTTTTTGTTAGAGTATTATAGTATATTTAGAATAAGGGTAGATTAGTGATTTACTTTATTATGTTTTGCTCTACTATTATGGATCTCTATTGTGTAGTGTAGATTTGGTTGAGTTGTAACGGACTTGTTAGCAGGAATAATATTCTCACTTTCTTCTATTTCTTTCCTCTCTTCTAAATTATGTAACAAAAGTTTTGATGGTATCAGAGCGATTTTGATCTTATACAAGACTATGAACACAGCAGTATGCGTCCGAGGAAGAATTTGGTTGGGCTGATATCATCAAACAGGATAATGATCAATTAGAAACGATTACATCCACCATTTTGATCGATTTTCTATGGGTTTCGACATGGCATGGTTCGTTTATGAGTTCGTGGTCATTTGATAGGGTTTTTGATTTTTCAAATGTTTTTCGAAGAATGGGGTCGAGTTTTCGATCTAGTCTTTTGCATGACTTTTCTTCGATTTTGTCGCTGCAAATCACACCTAAAGGGTGAAATTAGGTGTTTTGAATACACAGTTGTATGCTTCTACAACAGTTGGTTGATTTCTAAAGGATTTTTGCTATTATTTTTTGATTCGGCTGATTTCTGGTTTTACTGGGTTGTTCATTGCTGCTTACGGCTCCTGTTAATTGTTGTTCTGGGTTGTGTACTCTTTCAACATTTGCACAATAGTGTTGTTCTCGTTGGCTGATCTGATCTCCTCTGGTTTTCACATTGGGTGCTGACTACAGCTTCTGGTTTTCAATTTGGGCTACTCTTCTTACTGGGTAACTGTTACAAATTGCTGGGTTGTAATTTTTCTTTTGTTGGGCTGCTCTTCTTATTGGGTTACTGTTACAAACTGCTAGTTAATATTTTTCTTTTGCTAGGCTTTTTTTTTGAGTTGGGCTGTTCAACCTGCTTGCTGGATAACTGGTAATAATCAGTGGATTTCTGGTTTGCCTTGTTGACTCACCGATTTGCCACTAATGTTTTGTTGCCCTGGTTGATTTCTTGCCTTCCTGGTTTTCTATGGTGATAGCTATTTTTGCTCTCGCTATACTAGGGATTAGACTTTTGATTTCTTGTAAGCATTGATTCCCTTGAGCATTGGTGGTTGTTGGGCATTGAATTGGGCAGTCTGACTTGAACATTGGGTTGATTGAATTTGCACAAATCTGATTCAATTGCTTTGGCAGTTATTATTCGGCTTTCTTTTTCTATAATTATGGCGAGTCAAACCTCTGACTCTCTCTAGGACATCCATGTGAAATTAACTATGATTACTGATCAGTTGTAGAAGCTTATCTTATCTCAAAAACCTAATGCTCTCTCGATCTCTCCCTCCATAGATTCGTTCACTTTGGATTCTTCAGTTATATCTCGAATTGCTTGGGTCTTTGACTCAGGTGCTACACATCACATAACTCGTAATTCTTCCTTATTGCATCTACATTCTTTCCGCCATCTGTATCTGTACTTGCAAGCAATGGTACTCAAATGTCCTTAGCTAAGGTTGAATCTATTATTTTTCCAAAACTAACACTTTATGATTATTATATTCCAAAACTTACCTTAAATTTGATTTTAGTTAGTCAATTATTTGATTCTAGATTTTTAGTTCACTTTTCTTCTTCTGGTAGTATTGCACAAGATTCACGTTCTAAGAAGTTAATTGAGACACGTAGTAGAAAGAGAGGGTTGTATGTATTGGACGAGTTACATATTCTTGATATTGCTGCTTCTACTGTTGCTTTGTCATCTTTTCATTTGAATCCATAATTCACTAGTTTTTATTTGTGGCATTCTCGTCTTGGTCATGTTTCCCATTCTCATTTAAAATTTTTAGCCTCTACTAGTAGTTTGTGTAGCTTAGAGTGTCGTCACATTTCTAATTGCAATGGATGCAAGCTAGCTAAGTTTATTGCATTACCCTCTCATAAAAGTCTTACTAGTTCTATTGCACCCTTTGATCTTGTTCACTTTGATTTATGGGGACCTGCACCTATCCCCATAGGAGGGACCAAATATTATGTCTCTTTCATTGAATACTATACCCGGTACTGTTGGGTATACCTAATGAAGCATTGCTCAGAATTCTTTTCTATATTCACTGCTTTTTGTGCCATGATTCATACTCAATATTCTTTTGTTATTAAATGTTTTCATTGTGATCAAGGAGAAGAATACTCATTTAATTCATTTTGTGATTTGTTAAAATCTGATGACAATATTTGTCAATCTTTCTGTACTGACACACTTGAACAGAATGATGTTGTAGAGCGAAAACACCAGCACATTATGGAGACATCCCACTTTCTCTTGCTGAATGCCAATATTCCAAGTTCTTTTGGGGGGAAAACAGTTCTTACTACAATTCATTTGATTAACTGCATCCCCACAATCATCACTTCCGAAGTCACTCCCTTTTGAAAAATTATGTGATAAGCCCCCAGATTATTTCTCTTCACGAGTATTTGGATGCATTTGTTTTGTTTTACTTCCTTGTGTTCTTCATACTAAACTTTATGCTTGTTCAACTTTATGTGTTTTTCTTAGTTATGGTAAGGGTCAAAATGGGTATCATTGCTATGATCCTATTACACACAAACTCTTTATCTCTCGTCATGTTGTTTTCATGGAGCATATTCCATTCTTTTCTATTCCATCTAGTTCTTCACACTTGAAAAAATCTGATTTCATTTACATTGACCTATTGCTAGTTGATATACCGTCTTACACTTATGTCATGACTGTGCCTTCCTCTTCTAATTTGAGTGTTAGCCGTCCTCTTATTATACATACCTATGCTCACAAGACTCCAATTGTCCCTTCTACAAATGTGGTGACTTCCCCCTAGTCTATTGCCACTAAATTAGGTTTTGATAATGTGGATCATGCTCATTGTTATCCACAACTCTCTCAAAAATGTCCAGATAGGTTTGGTTTTTCCAACATTTGTTATTCTTTTGATTGTTGTTCTTTTATCACCTCTATTCACTCTCTATTTGAGTCCGCCTCCTATAAAGAAGTTATACTTGATCGGCTTTGACAATAGACTATGGATGATGAGCTAGCGGCCTTACATAAGGCTTGAACTTGAGAATTAGAGTCTTTACTGCCTGATAAACGTACCATTGATTTTAAGTGAATTTATAAAATCAAAATCAAATCTGAGGTTCTGTAGAACAGTATAAAGCTCGATTAGTAGCTAAGAGATTTGCTCAAGAATACGGGTTAGACTATGATAAGATTTTTGTTCTTGTTGCCAAGATGACTATTGTGATTGCAGTGGCTACTATTTGTCAATAGAGCTTGTCTTAGATGGATGTAAAAAATACCTTTCTCCACACAGATTTATCTGAAGACATTTTTATGACTCCTCCTTTTGGATTGTCTCATAGTCCCAATCAAGTATAAGGACTTCATAAGGCTTTATATGACTTTAAATAGGCTCCTAGAGCATAGTTTACCAAATTCTCTTTAGTCATTTATGACTTAGGTTTTCGTGTCAGTGATCACAATGTTGCTCTCTTTCTACGATCCATTTCCGCTAACTCTATTATTCTCTTACTCTATGTTAATGATATAATCATTACACGTGATAACCCTGCTGGAATAAGGCTATTGAAAAATCAGTTATAAAATTATTTTGAGATGAAAAATTTGGATCAACTTCGGTATTTATTAGTGATTGAAGTTCCTTGCTCTCCCAAAGGTTATCTTCCTCTTAGTCCAAATATACATAAGATGTTATTCAGCGAGTTCGCTTATCAAATAAATAAACAATTGAGACACCTTTCATTTTCTTATAGGTAAACTCTTGATGTTTTCTACCATATCATGAGTTTGAGGGGTGTGTTAGAGTATCATAGTATATTTAGAATAAGGGTAGTTTAGTGATTTACTTTATTCGGTTTTGCCCCACGATATAATGATCTCTATTATGTAGTGTAGTTTTGGTTGAGATGTAACATACCTATTAGCACGAATAATATTCTCACCTTCTTCTATTTCTTTCCTCTCTTCTAAATTATGTAACCAAAGTTTTCAACTTTATGTCAATCAATTAGATTTGTAACTTTACATTCCTGGTAAAGCTCGTAGAATAAGGGATTTTCTTCTATTTTAGGAGTATTTAGAATTTTGGCTGTTCCTATAAATACTTTTCATATGTACTATGAAATATCATATTTTAGAGTTTTCTCTTATTTCTTTGTGGATTCAAGAGTGTCGTGTGTGTGTGTGTGTGTTCAATACACGAAGAAAGAGTGATTTTTTTGTATCCCAGTTACCGCTGAATCACTATACTATAACAACAGAAAACAGAAAAATTCCATGTATCACTTGGTTCAAAATAGGGCCATGGTCGCAATAATAATATCGATATCATCAGGAGTCTTCTCAAACTTTCGACAAAAAGATGTTAGGTAAGAGAATTAAACACAAGACAAAAAAGCCATAATAGCTTTTTTAAGCTGACAACAGAGGATCCAAACTAGTTGGATGAAAGAGAAAAAAACTTACAACAACGAGTTTCCCAGCATTTTCTGGCCTCTTTGCTATCTTTATTGCTGCAGCAGCCGCCGCCCCAGAAGAAAAGCCCACCTGCAAAAGCACCCTCAAAACACTGAAAAATTGAAGACATCAAACGCATGCATTACAACAATATGAAGAATATGCATAACAAGCAACCATGAAATCATGTGCTCACCAAGAGAGCAAAGAGTGTTAAAAATGACTATGAAAAGAGTCTTTAACTCATTGGGAACGTACCAGCAATCCTTCTTTCAATGCAAGAAGCTTAGCAATTTCAATAGCTTCTTCACTAGAAATCTGAAAATCTCTGATAACATCAGAAGTTGATCGCAGGAAATTTGTGTTGCTAGCAGAATTCAGGTTTTGGATTTAGTGATAGAGCATCCAAAAAAAAATTACCCTGTATAAAAAATATAATATATATACAACTGATAAAATACATCGCAACCATATAAACCAACTTTGGGTGGACCTAAATTAATCGGGGATACAAGCTTTCTTTACACATAACAACAATCGTATAATATTAGCATGACATATTATAAAATCTATTTGATGCAGTTGATAATAATACCGCCTGTTACATTGCAAAGATCAAATGATGGAAATTTTGTCCCTTTTTTAACCTTGTCTCAGGTTGACAGCAGGTGATCTTCTCAGTATGGATCCTATATTATATCATACCAGAAAAATCATTTCTATTATACCCAGCTTCAAATCGTTTTTCTAATGCTATTTAAGTGACATAAATATCCACCTGTTCTGAATTCATCCACAAACGTTAGTGATGTATGAATACAACTAGATATCTACTCATCCGTGTATTCAATACAACAGCAACAAAATGGGCAAAAAAATATTTTTGCTCAAATGCAGAAAATAGTTTCATGCAGTTATCCATGGGTCTGACACTGTTTAATTTAATATGTACTGGGACTTCAAAACAAAGTAATATCACCTAAATTATCATAAAAGAGATCCAGAAGATAAACTTTAATGATTCAACAATTAGGTTGTTGGACTATTGCTTTAACAAAGCAACTAGCCGGCAAACCATAGTGAACTCAAACAGATAGGACATTTCATTGGCCATCAGAACCGAGAAATCTGAACTTCATCAGGATAGGTGACAAGGAAAATGTACGGGAATCCACAACCAGATGGATAGCTATTTACTGTGAGAAACATATGCAGATGACGGCATAGACACATTTTCCACTACTACAGTCCATCAATATTTGAAAGCTGAAACCCTCCTTGAAAGCTTGCATCTTCAGAATTATCCTCTAGTACTTGGAGAAATTTCCCCAAAATGTCAAGGGAACCATTCCAAAGGTCTGTTCCACAGAGAAGTTAAGGAAAGGAAATTTTCCAATTGAACAAATTCCTAAATATTTAGAAAAGAGTTCACCAATACATTAAATCTTTTGGGGTTAAACTCTTCAACTATAGTTCCTCCCTTATAATCTCAATGTCTCGCTCCATTTTAGTCGTAGTTTAAGGTCGCGATATTGGTCATCAACTTGGAGGTTCAGAGACACATCAGTCGTGGTGCGATATTAGTCGATATTACCTAAAAGAAAATGTTGAACATAACAAGTGATTCGGTGTCGCAGAACCATATCGTCTGATTCAATGACGACTACTGGACAACTGGACAACGCGGGATTGATTCAAAGATCACTTGGATGACGATACGACTCGGCACTTTCTGAGTCAATACCTTTATACATTACGCATAAATCCCAAGTCTCGCAAGACTCGGCCGACTTGTATAGGTCGATACTTTGTACCATGGTTTTAGTACACTTCAGCAGTGATTTCCCGCATCATGTTCCCAGCCACATTCATTAGATTTGTCATGAGTTGACATTGGAAGGTAGTGTGGAGCCCAATAGAATCGAAAACATAGAGTTAAGCAATATTAGCTGCTCTTCTTTTAGCTATGGGTATGAAGTATGTGAAGTTTAAAAGATGCAAAGCAAAGAATGAAAGAAAAATAATGAGAGAGGAATAAATGAGTTTTTGTATTTTGTGATACCCTACCTCTCACCCTCAACTTATGTTTATAGTTACCTAATAAGAACATAAAAGACCAGTATATCCTTAGAGTGGTATAATTATTACAATCATAAAATGACAATATAAAGCTAATACTTTCAAGGTAGAATATATATATTATATAATCCAAACTTAGAGAAAATGACTAGAAGATGGGTACGATTTATTACATAGGGGATCATGGACATATGAAGTTTGATGAATAATGTCAATTTTACAAAGATAAGTAGAAATGGGTCAAAATCATATTCACGAGCATTATCAAAACGTAAAATTCAAATACGACAACTATACTGAGTTTTGATTCCTTACGAAACTTCTCAAATATAGAAAACAATTCAAAATAAGATTTCTTAAAAAATAACCAAGTCACACGAATATAATCATCCACAAATGTCATAAAATAAAAAAATTTATCAGATAAAATATATTTTTATTGGACCTTATATATCATAATGAACTAACTCAAATGGACTAGATATAAGATTATTGATTCTAGACTGAAAAGATACACGATCATGCTTACTAAGATGACAAGCTTCGCAAGACGCAGATGACACAAAGCTAAGACTAAAAAGAGATGCATGACCGAGACGACAATGTCACAGAAATGGAGATGATGACATCTAAAATACAAGGAGATAGATAAAGGTCAAAGTAATAGAGACCACCAACTCCATGCCCCGTACAAATCTTCCTCCTCATTTGTTGATCTAAAACACACAATAAATTGGATAAAAGATTATTGAGCAGGTAAGTGAACGAGTAACCTTGCTAATAAAAAGTAAACTAAAAGGAAATTGAAGAACATAGAATAGATGATAAGTACATATCGGGACTCAATTGAGTAGTCCCTAAATTTGAAACCTTCGAAGAAGTACCATTAGCAAGAGTGACACTATGAGGTGGAAGAAATAATGATAAGTAGAGAATATACTAGATAAACCAGTAATGTGAGTAGAAATGCCAAAATCTATGATTCAGGGACTATGAGTGGAGGACAGTAAACAAGCGAAAATAGTATCTGACTGGACAAAAGTAACAGTGGAAGAAAATGGTACTACTTGGCTAATAGTAACTAAGAGTCCGGAGGGCTAAGCATGATGATAATGCAGATAATGTGGGGATATCCTCCAAATAAGAGACTTGATTGGCAACACCAGATGGCTTCCCATGTAAATCTCAACAATAATCCACAGTGTGGTTAGGACAACCACAATGAATACATAAACGAGTACCACTACGACCTTTACTACACCTCCCTTAAGAAGCACGACCACCATGACCGCTGCAGTTGCCATAACCACCCCCGAGTACCACCATTATTACCATTAAAATAACTAATACCGAGTGATCATCAGCAGAACCATGATCAATGCCTGAAGTAGAATTTTCATCTGACAAAGTAGAGCGCGATAAACGAGAAAACATATCTGGTAGGGAAGGAAGAGTATGACTGGCTAAAATTTGTGCGCATATATGCTTATACTCAAGTTTTAAGCCAACAAGAAGACGGACAACATCAAGATACTCACATTGATGCTCCCTACAACTGTACAAGCAATGTGAGTAGTGATGCACAAACACCCATTACTTTGGAATAATAGTCCTTGCTCAAGACGAAAATATTGTTTTGTAAGCCTCATAAACACAAGTAAAATTAATTATCAATGCCAGAATATATATATATGCCAAAGGATCCCAAATTTCCTTGATAGTATCAAGATAGAGCAATGTAGAGCTGATAAGAGGCTCAATACTATTCAGCAGTTGAAAAATTAAAATGTGCATCCTCTTGTTCTCACTGATTAAACCAAGAATCACCCTCTTATGGTTTAGCGTCCACCAACTACTTAAGACGTTTGCTATTAAGAAAAACTTGAACAAACTGGAACTGGAACTAGAGAATGTAATGAGCTCCATTAAAGAAATCATGACAGCATTAAAGAAAGAAGCCAGGGAAAGAGTGGGTGAAAGGGTTGGTATAAGAGGTAGAATATTGGTCTTCGACTCTATATTGATACCACAACTTGCAAACCAAGGCTTAACAATCACCAAACGCCACAAAAAGCCCAAAGGAAGAACTAAACAGAGAGAAAATCAACACAGATCTACAGATCAGACCCAATTATTACCTAAACCAAAATGGAAATATGTGAAACCAATCTAACAGGCCATTAAACTGGCTTAAAGGCCACTGAACGCTGGAAAGACTACGAAACCGACCTGAGGGACCATTGAATTAGTCTGACTAACCACTGTGTATAGCACGATGGGAAGAACCGGTGGGAAAAACAATTGGACCGGGATAAATTGGTGAGAAAAGGGCCTAAACCAGAGTGAATTGGATTGGATCCGATCTGATGACCGATGGGACTTGAACAGATATGAACCGATCTTGGATTGGACTTGAGTGGATTAGGACTGTTGACTGGGTTGGCCGAGGTTAGGCCTAAAGATTTGAGTTGGTTGTGGATCTGGATCATTGATTGGGTTAGATGAATGTAGGCCCAAAACTTTGAATGGGCTGTGAAGACCTAGATGGATTTTGAGCTGCTTCATCTTAGGCTTAATATAAACCCAGTTGGAGATTAAAACGCGAACTAATTTGGAGGAGGGATGGAGGTCATTTTCTTCACGCAATTTGCAAGGGATAAGCCCTAACGTTTGACGACGCTAGGTGAAAATCTCTCCGGCGACAACGAGAACACACTCAAACGACACCAGCGACACCACTACAACACCACAACACCAATCAAGAAAGCCTCCAACAATGGAACAACTATAAAACAGAAAATTTCCAACATAAGAGGCTATGAACTGCACCACAATTCCAACCCAACACAAAGGCAAAAACAAAAAACACCACCCACGACCACTAGTTACCCAAAAACCTTTATCAAACCAGACCAACGATCGTGGGTTGTACTAGTAACACACCAAGAGGATGCAGAGGAGAGAAAAGAAAGGAAACAAAAAAAAGGAAAAATTTGGGGAAAAGAGCATTTAAGGGTTTTACTCAAATATCCAATACCAAAAAATAAAAAAAAAATTGAGATCAAATTTGGAGTCAACCTTGCTCTGATACCATGTGAAGTTTAGAAGATAAAGAGCAAAGAAAAATAACAAGGGAGGCAGAGAGGAGTGTTTGTGATACCTACCTCTCACCCTCAACTTATATTTATAATTATCTAATGAGAACTGTTGGAGTTATAGCCTAGATTATTAGGGTTTTTCGTTTTACCATTGTTTTACCTTTTTATCATTATTGTATCTTTATTGTTTGACTATATATACGGGGGTTCTACACTTAGTTTGTATCCCTTTCACTCACGTCTATTCAAGTTGGTATCAGAGCCATAACCCTAACCCTAGCTCCTCCTCCACGTTGCAGCCACTAGCCACCCCACTGCCACCAAACTGCTACCACAAACCAATAACCAACAAACCCAAGAAGCACCGAAACACCCAATACCATATACATCGATTGACCAACAACCGACTGCCCAACCACCCAAGTTCTCACTACTACATCATTGAAACTCCAAACACATACCAAGAAAACACATACCCAAGAAAACAAAGCCACCAAAAACATACACCCATACCCACCGAAAACATATGCCAAGAAAACACATACCCACCGAAAAACACACTGTACCGCTACCCCAGCCTCCACCAACAAACCCACTGCCCTAAGACTGTTTCACCCACTCCACCGTCTACAAAACACCATCGACTGCAACCGAATAACCAATAGAATAACCTAATAGCCAGACAGCAACACAAACTCAATCACCGACTGCCCACTCCCACTCAATCATCAACTCAAATTAAATCAAACCGAACCCAACCCAGACCACCCCCAATAGTCATATTAAATCAGACCAGCCCACTGCTGGGCCACTTACCACAGACTAGCCCACTCATCAGCCCACTGTTGGGTCGCGATTTTTATGACTTTGTCCTTTGCATTCTTCGTTACAGTGCTGCCAGGCCGTAGTATCTAGGACATTTTTAAGAGGCGTTGAA